TTCTTCTTCTGCCGGGTACAATCTGCAGAACTCTCCCACACATCATCGTGGCATTGATCCAATTCTTGCCATAATGCTACCATCTCATTATAGTAAGAGGTAACATCATGGTTATCTTGTTTGGCTTGCCACAGATGTGTTTTAATTTCAAAGATCTAGGAAGAATTCTCTAAGTCTGAATATGTTGCTCGAACAGAGTCCCACACTTCCTTGGCGGTTTTCATGAACATATGTGGCTTAGCTATGGACATGTCCATTGAATTGAGTAGCCACGCAGTTACTAAAGAATTCTCAGTACACCATTTACGGTATCCTGGATCAGATGAGACCGGTTTTGAAGTTTCACCGGTCAAGAAGCCCTACTTATCTCGACCATCAATGGCGAGTTTCACAGATTGTGACCATTCCAGATAGTTTTTCCCATTCAAACGATGCACAGTGATTTGCATCGGTGATTGAGAGTAGTCAACTACTGTTGATCGATCGGTAGATGTGACGGTGGAATTTGATTCGGACTCCCGCATGTTGAACCTCGGGTATTGGTTCTGATTATTAGCAGCAAATAAGAAGTTGTTAAAACATATACCTTTGTAGCTTTGATACCAAGTAATTTCAGAGAAATTCTATTGTTATTCTCATTGAAAAGCAAAAGGGGTATTCATACAGCTTGACCTAACTAGAATACCTTAATTTAAGGGATTTGAAACATACAAGAAAACTTACCAAACTATACAAATATCTACCAAATTTGTTACAAAAGGAAAAATAGTCCCAAGAAATCAGGGATTATATTCACTATAGCAATTCCACACTTAACAAATAAAACCTGAAAATCGCTCAACTCAAAAAATCGTTCATCATTTACACAAATCTAAAAACTTAACAAATGACATCAACACTTCGAATAAAAAAATGAAAATGAACATTTTTTTATTCAAAACTCTCATAACACAAAGAAAAAAACATCGAATTAGACTGAAACATGTATCCAAAAACAATATGTATTTCTATTAAAACACACATAAACCACCTTAAATGAAAATAAACCACAAATGATCTTCCAGAAAATGTTCAAAATGAAGACAAGATCGAGATCTTAAGAACTCTGTTCGACAACCTTAAAGAGAAATGAAGAAGATGAAGGTAAAATTAGTGAAAGTGAAAAAGAATTTACTCTGATGACCTTATATGTAGGTAAAAAGACCTAGACACGTGGCAAAATGTGAATAGTGGTCGGTGGCCCAACAAATATAATTGTTGAGTTTGAGTGCTGTTAAACGAATTTTTTGTTATTAAAAAGGGACTACTGATCTCAGACTTTGGTACCTAAAGGATACATTTTGAGTTGACAACATATTCAGATGCAGATCATGCTTGATGTATGCTTGACAGGAAGAGTACTTCGGGTCACGTTCAATTTTTAGGAGATAAGTTTCGAAGAAACAAAATTGTGTATCCACATCAACAGTTGAAGCGGAGTATGTAATTGCTGCTAGCTGTTGTTCACAAGTAATATGGATGCACACCTAACTGAAGGACTATGGTTTCTTATATAATAAGATTCCAATATACTGTGATTCGAAGAGCGCAATTGCTATCATGCAATCTTGTTCAACATAAAAAGACAAAACACATTTTGCCACGTGTTTAGGTCTTTTTACCTAGATATAAGGTCACAAAGTAAATTCTTTTTCACTTTCACTAATTTTACCTTCATCTTCTTCATTTATCTTTAAGCCTGTCGAACAGAGTTCTTAAGATCTCAATCTTGTCCTCATTTTGAATATTTTCTTGAAGATCAATTGTGGTTTATTTTCATTTAAGGTGGGTTTATGTGTGTTTTAATCGAAATACATATTGTTTTTGGATATATGTTTCAGTCTAATTCGATATTTTTTTTTCTTTGTGTGTTCTTAGAGTGTTGAATAAACAAAAAGTTTTTAGATTTGTGTAAATGATGAGTGAATTTCTAAGTTGAGCAATTTTCAAGTTTTATTTGTTAAGCGGTTTTGTCTATATGCTGAGCGATTTTTTGTCTTAGGCGATTTTTGGCCAATTGTTGTAAGGTTTTGTGTGTCGAGAGATATTCTTTTAAAAAAAATTATACGCAGAATTTTTTTTCCAAGTCTTGGGAAATATTTTTTATTGTGGATATAACATTTAACTTTTACAGATTAAATGGCAAGTGCACAATCCATTCCGTCTGTTCGATCTCAACCACCATCACGTTCACAGTCTGTGAATGCCCGAGACCCAGATGAAAGTATCTTCCCGAGATCCCTTTACCTTGATCTCAAACCCGACAACCATCATCTTAACCTATACATGATAACAGAATTCCCTGTCATGATGGAGATTTTATAAGGCCACAAGATCAATTATGCCTTGACTGCAACCACTGATGTTCCTTTAGTCTACCTACAACAATTTTGGTATACACTACCCTACATTCCAGCAGAAGGCCAACATCATTTTGAAGGCTATGTTGACAATTATCTGAGCCGGTTAATAATCAAAAGATTGCGGAGAATTCTGGATCTACCAAAAGCCAATGCCTTTCCCGGAAAGCAAACCTATGATAATTTTGTGACTGAAGAAGAGATGGGTGCCGATATTAAATGTTTGAGTTACTCATTTATCTGGCATCTCTTATTCTGAATCTTGAACCGATGTCTGACATCAAAGACTGTGGGAGTTGACACTTGCAATACTTCTTTTCTTCAATTCTTCCACAGGCATCGCGTTCAACAAGCACTATGATTATACGATTATTATCTGGAACGAGCTCGCTGAATTAGTTCATGCGAAACGATTTGCATTCAAATCAAGGAAATTTCTCCTGTTCCAATGATTTCATCAGCTTATCATTAGGTCAATCATGCGGTCCAACAGAGATATCCCATCCTGAGTTGATAAACCTCTTAGACCAAATTATGAGATGCAGTTTCTCGAATCTCATAATGAAATGGACAATGTGGATGTTATTATGCCTATTCCTGAGGATCTCTTGGCATATGTTGATCAGAGCACCCAGTATAGGAGAGTGAGAGCTCCTACAGTCCAGCCAGAACCAGAAAGACTTTCCCGAGAGCAACCCAACTTTCAGCTGAGTGCAGTGAGGGTCCCATAGGTCAAGCTGAGAGAGTTCAAATACATCGAGTATAAACAGGCATGCAGAGAGAATGAATATAAAAGGGGAACGGCTGGGGGTCCTCTGATCGTGCACTCATGGAACAAGGAGCTTCCAATGAACAATCTTCATCTGAAAATTCTACTAATGAAGATGATGTTGATAATGCACAAGAAGCTGATTATGATGATGATAATGATATGGATGATGTTGCACCGATTCCAATCCAGAGGTAGAATTTGATGATTATTTACCTGAATATGAATTTGATATTGTTATTCTTGAAACAGTTGGACAGATAAGGAGATCTGAGGGAGTGTTAGCTGAAAATATTGAGAGGTTGTGTGACAGGGAAGGAGAAGAAAATGGTGAGAATGTGACGGGGATAGAAGAAAATGAAATTCCTCTCCAAACCTTTAGGAGAAAACGGGTTGCCGCATCTGCTATAGGTACTCATTTGTTGAGTTCTGATATTGAAGAAGCCATAGTTGACCCAACTATGTATTTGCACGCCCTCCCAATCCACTCAAACATCTCCCAGTCGATGTTTGTTTCATCTTCTCAAGGGGATATAGCATAATCTATTCAGTCCTCATTCAGAGGATGTGAATATTGAAATTTGAAGACAACTGCCCTAATAAGAATTCTATTTATTCAACTCACATGGTATCAGAGCTATTACAATTTGTCTAACCATTCATTCTTCGATCAGCCAATAACTCGTCTTGATATGGAGAAATCGAATGATGACTCTCTCCATAAGTCAACCCCTCTTTTACCGGCAGCCTCATCGGATTTGTCATTGCAAATAATACTTCAGAAACTCATTGGAAAAAACTTTTTGCAATGGTCTCGTCTCTCTAATCATTCAATTTCTCAAGAGGTCTGTCTCTATCTTTTCCTACGTGGCAAAGGACGAATCAGCTATGTGACCGGTGCAACTCTAGCTCCGGCGACTACTGATCCAAAGTATCCTAATGGGGACGAAACAAGAAAAAGCGAGGAACATGAATTAAATTGACAAGGATGGTCTGAAACAATCATCATCAAAAAATGCTTTTGAGTACATGGATGAGCCAATGGCAAAAGCTAGGAGCAAAAGAATGAAAGAGGCTCTCAATCAATTTGTCAAAAGAAGCCCAAACCCAAGAAGAATCCAAGTTACTAGAAGTCAGGCCCAAGATCATGATTACTTTGATGGTCAAAGATGGAGCCCATGATAAATAATTCTAGAAGGTTTGAAACAATTAAATATGTAGTCTTAAATTTGGTGCTATTTTGAATGCTACATTAAACATGGATAGTTTGAAAGTCTAAGATAGTTAATTAAGCCTTTTTGTTTGCCATCCTAGAGGCAGGGACGGACCCAGAATTTTTTTCAAACGGTGGCACCGTTTGACTATAAGAAAAAGATATAGGGAAAAAACTTCAAACAATGGCACCATTTGACTATAAGAAACAAATGTACAAACTTTTTTTCAAACGGTGGCACCATTTGACTAAGAAAATGACATTAACAGGATTCAAACTTGGGTCTGGGGTGGAATAAAAAGCCTTGCAAACCAACTCTACCAAATAAAACTTTGTTCTCATTGTAGTTTCAAAATACATACGGTAGCACACGACAAATGAATATGGTTGCACCTTTCACGAACAAAGGAGTAACCTTGAGTTGCTCCACAGGGTCCGTTGTACTAGTATTAATGATAATTACATTAAAAAGAAAACAAAATGAAGTATTTATCAAGTATCCAAGTCCACAATTTCCACACTTGAATGTTTTAGAAATCAACACGAGAAAACTGAAGGCAAAATGGAATTCAAAAGGGTAAAAGATCCATGATTCAGGAAGATATTTTGATAAACTTACTGAGCACAAATCCCAACCAGGAAGTTTTCCATATACTGAAGCCTGACGAATTCTATCTTTCTTTGTTTCCCAGAGTTCACCAGACAATGCATCACCTGTTTTGGGCATTCCACCATCTATATCCTGTTTCAAATATAAAGTAAAAACATCTCTCAAATGTTTCATGCCAGCCAAAGTTAAGACATACTAGAGCTCACCTTTCGCTGAACATCTGATAAATCCTGACCAGTCCGCTTTAGAGAGAGTCCAGGAGGTGTCTCTCCTTTTAATGCAGCAGCCTGCATTAAAAAATTATAGACATGAACTCATTCATATTCCTATTTACTACACTTACTAGGAGTGGATCAATCCTTCAATATTAATGTCAACAGTCCAACAATCTATATATTTAGATCATGCCTTCAGCATCGTAGGTTGAGGGTGCAAGTCAGGCTAAGACTCGTTGATAAGTTAAATTGTCAGGATTTCTTTAATTGTGGATATTGTTTAGTGTTAGACTAAGTCAACTAGTCTAGTTTATATTATTAATATTGTCTAGGGTCCAAAGTGTAATTAGTTTTACCTATATAAGGTGTATCAGATTATTATTATTTTTCAATCAATACAAATCAATATCAAGTTTAATAT